GCAGCAGTGTTTCTGCGAGTGCTACTTTCACAACATTATGGAAAAGCCACATTTATGACATCCCTCCCTGTGAGCAGAAGTCTGAGAGTGGGGCAGATGTTTTACACTGAGGCCAGATTACAATGCCACTGACAGCAACTGGTAGGGGCTCAATGCATAAAATCAATAGAAAAATGGTAAGGGGTGTTTATCTATATTCCTTTTGCAGATCAACATGAGATTCCAGGATTCTGCTTCCTAGGTGTGGCATTTGCTAGAGCTAAGGTTCGCCCTCAGTGGAGAGCTCCCTGAACAGAAGAGGAAACCAAATCCAAAAGCTGGTGTTTCCCAAAATATTGAGTAGCTATCACTCCCCAACTTTAATAACATTAAGTTGCAAGTGAAAAGTTTCCAAATTTCTTTCAATTCTTCTGATAACATCACACTAGCACGTGGATTTCAACAAAGAGAGCAGGCCTAGGGCTCTGAGCTGGCACTAGCAAGAGCATCAAAGAATTTAATCATCAAAGAAAAATATTAAGTGGAATTAAGTAAATAAATCATAAAGATGGAACCCAATGGATTAAAATTGAGAAAAGGTGGCAGAGGCACCTGTGATTTCAGAGGTCTTGCTTTGGGACTCAGGGCTGAGCCAAAAGGTGAATCAGTGGGTCAGCCTGACTAATATGAGGCAAAATACTTCAATGGCTGATATTCGAGCTGAGTTTCAATTAATTACAGAGATTCTAATTATGGCACCTGTCTGAGCTGAATTAACACCACTCACTTATTTCACCCAGATAAAGATCACCCCATGTCTGCATAAGAGAGGTTGAGAGAGATTGAGGTATTCTTCATAAGCAAACTCAAAGAGAAGCAGCAGACACAGAGCACTTGGAGCTTATCAGAATCACCTGGGAAACTCTTTCAACCTCAGAGGCACCCACAAGTCATCAGTTGGTCCTACCTATTCAGACTCATAGTAAATGTATGTAAATAGGACTACACATTTTGTGCTATTCAGTAGCCAATTTAGGCCCAACACATTTATCACTAACTGATTTGCTGAGATTCCCAACTTAGGTGTTTCTGGCCCTAGGAATTTCACCATCTCAGCCCTCCTCCACACTAAAAGTTTTAGAGACAATGTGCCATTTCCAGCATATAATACAAACAGTTAAAAACCAGTTTAAGAAAACAGGGCCTCCTGTCATGCCATCCTTGCTAGACTCAAATCTCTGAGTGCGGACCTGTGTCAGTCTGACTCAACAATCAGACTATGTGAAACTGGATGTGCCAAAATGACACTACCTCACTCACCATCATTGCTCACATGGAAATCCCGGTTAACTGTTAACTCCCAAAAAGGCAGCTTAGCTAGCAAAAAAGTTGTGGCCTCTTACTACTCTGGATAATAAGCTGCTCACCAATTCAGAACATTACCACCAACATCAATTGGTTTACAAGTCTCGCTGAATGGTAGCTTCCTTCCCTGTGCTGGCAGCAGCAGTTTTAAAGTTACTGCCTGTTGGATTTTGAAGCAACTGCTCATTTGTTCATAAAAGTCACAGATAAATATCAGCAATACATGAATTCACAGAAAACTGCCCACACATTGTCATCAAAAGATAAGAAAGTAGAATCCCTCCCTTGGCAGGTATGGGTTCTTCCTAACTTGTAAAAATGGACTGCCATGGCCACCGGAAAAGATTCTGAATTTGAAAACCTTTTTCTGGTGTTAATTTTGGGAAGCAAACAAGTAAGAATGAAATTACAATGAAAAAAAGAATGGGTTTCCAAATTACTTTTTCCTGTTATAACCACTGTCCCCCAAGACAAAGAGACACTGGCAGCCTTGGGAATAGGTTCTTGGTTCTGGGAGCATGCCCACCTCTCCTTCCCTCCAGGTGAGGAGGTGGCACTCCCAAGCCACTCCAGGGACACCACATGGTGCCTCCCTCCACTCCTGCAGTTGTCCCCAACCCCTCACACCTAGCCATCTCCAAACCTCCTGCTTATTCCATCAGCCTTTTCCTTGGCTGCTGCCTCAAATATGGAATTCCTTCCACATATCCCAGCTGGATTCTGCACTTGGTCATCATCTTTCTGCCAAGGATTCTTCTCTTCTACAACTTTAATATTTTCCTTGCCACTAGAGGGACCAAAGTGCTCTACCCAGTGGCTTTATCAATCACATCTCCTGAGTAGCCACAGAAGGCATTTGAGTATGTGAATCTCGAATTCACATCTGCTCATTTACACATTTGAAGTTAACACAATTCCTTTGTCATTCAAAAGTATCTTATTAGAAGACATTGTGTGTACTAGGTACTGGTAGAGAAAAAGGGTAGAAATATGATTTTAAGACCCTCCCTATTCCCGCACCCTGCTATACATTGATGTTCTAAGAGAGACAGAGGAAAATAAAGAAAATCATCTCCATAAAATGTGCTGTAACAACTGTGTGAAGTGTTTCTGGAAGACGGGACCAAAAAAGTCCCCTTTTTGCCTAAGGATGTCCTGGAAGAGGCTACATACACCTTTAAGTGGGCCTTGATCTGAACTGCAGTTTTCACACTCCCCTCTTTCCCACCTCACTCCCAATCCACTCTGCCCTTAATCCCGAAGGACCACTAAATTGCATCACTCTGGTGCTAAAAAACCTGCAACAAGACTCCCCTAGCACATCAAGGCCGGAGGTGTCTGATGGGCACTGAGGCTGTCTGTGCTAGTCCCAGCTGCCTTTGCACAGAGATCTTGCACATATGGGTACATCAGCTCCAGCCAATGGAGACTCCATATAGTACATTCTAGACAGCCTGGAATTTCCTGCTTCTGCACTTGCTCATATCACCCCAGGTGCCAACCAGGGGCCACCAAATATGGCTGTTCAGTGCACAAATCGTGCCGCTCTAAGTAGCAGCACTGTCTATCCCCACCATGATACTTCCCATTTTAGGGGATTATAGGTGATTTTTTAAAAAGTACTTTCTGCATTTTCCACAATGAACAGGTATTATATGTCTAAAAACTGAGAAGGGAAATTGCATGTGGGAAAAAGAATCCATTTTACTCTTCAGAATAGCCTGCTGTAAGGCTCTTTTCTCTAAGAAGCCTTCTGTGAGTTACTCAACAAGAAGCAATCTGTGCTCTTCCTATTCTTAACACCGTGGACTGTTTTATGACTTCAGACACACACCTTCCTGTATACACATACAGCTGTACCTTTATTTCTCTCTGACCTATTATGTGTCAGGCATTGTATGAAGAGTTTTACACATGCTGTTTCATTTAATCCTCACAGGGAACCTATGAGGTTGCTATTACCATTCCCACATTATAACAAAGGAAGCCAAGGTTGGAAGACTTGTTCAAAGCAAAGAACTAGCCTATAGTTCTTGCAAGTTTAAAAACAGTCTACTGGATTTAAATTTAAATCCAGGCTTCAAAATCCTAACTCCAAAATACTTGCCAACTGACTAATTGCTTCTCCAATACTAGCCTCTGAGAGCCTTAAGCAGGAAGACAATATCTTACTCATCTTTGTACTCACTCTCTGTGCCCACCCCAGGGCCTCATCCACAAGCAGAAACTCAAAGAACCTTCTTACGATTACATAAAATATCTATTCCTTGGGGGAAAATGGTGGGATGTTGATTATGATGGTATGACTCTTAAACAACTGCTGTCCTGACAGCAAGCTCTGAAGGTTTTAGCTTCAAAATGTACCTCAAAGCTCTGCTGTCTCCCCAGCTCTACTGCCCACCTAAGCCTTAGTCTATTATCATCTCCTGCTTTTGACTATTCTCCCTGCTCCCCCGCTTCTCCCACATGTGTAAGTGCGGTGGGCCTGTTACTCCCCACACAAACCATCCAATAGCCCACAAGCTGCTTCTTACTCTGGCATAGAAGCTGTGCATGATCAGGGTCCCTGCCTGTAAGGCCAGACTTTTCTAGTCTCTACTTCCTTCCACTAACCACCCTGCAGCCACACTGGCCTTTCCAGGTTGTGCAATGGCTCTTCTCTCTGTATTGAATGCTCTTATTCCAGGTGGTCACATGGTGGCTCCCTCATCACTTAGGGCTCAGGTCACCAGGGGTCACCTTCTCAGAGGCTTTGATTAAACAGTATCAAAGAAGGACCCCCACTGTGGTATTCTCTGTCTAGAGCCTGCATTTGTGGGAGTGAGGAAAATGAGGAAGAACCTGCAGTTATTTTAAAATGTTTCTCCTTAGTTTTGTCTATTTCTCCAGCAAGAGTTTAAACTCCACAGAGGTAGGAATCATACTACGAGGTGGGTATTCAAATACTTCTGAGTTTTTAGTGAACCAAACTGAGTATTAAACTAAGTTTTATGATCAGAATTTTATTTTAAACATGTTAGGTGGCATTCTGGCAATGCAAAAGAACGTTATTTGGATCCTTTCGTGACTAAACACCCAGTTAACAGGCTTGGAGACTGAAGTCCAGGGATGGCTCAGGGAGGTGCATGAAATCTGATGTCACAACGCGTCATTTAAGTATGTATGTAATTTTGATAGGGAAAATGTCATCGCTTCAACTCATTCACAAATTAGAACATGAGTAGTTCAACTTAGTAAGTTCAACTTAGAACCACTGAACTTGGAAGTTTCAAATTCACATTTCCTTAAAAAAAAAAAAAAAAAAAAGGCCATGTCTCCATATTGGGAATATATTTATAATTTTACCAACCACTAAATTCCCAACCTCAGGATCTAGAAGGAAACAAACCTTTCACTATACTGATGCAATATTTCAAAAGAGATTTTATAAGATACATTTTCTTTTTGTATAATTTCAATATAATACAGAAAATGCACACCACTTTCAAGAAAATACTCAACATCTGACAGGCATTAACCCATTCAATGAATCAGAAAGCCTAGCTCCTGACAGGGGGAGGGATTATATTCTACCTGGGCTGTCGCTGGCCTTCAGTTTTTAATCCTGCTTTACCTTTTACCTCCTAATAATGATTTTTAAATGATTAAGCACTTACCATAATGTGATTGAAATGCCTGCGGTTTGACAACCTGATTGCAGTCGTTACACACCACCAAGTAGAAATCATCATGGGCTGGACAGAGACCAAATATTGGCATGTCTGCAAAAAAAAAAGAGAGCATCACTCACTCCTCTGATCATTATGAAACTATTTGGGGTGGCAGTACTTTCTAAAGGAGCTGCCTGAAGATAAAGTGCACCAGGAAAATGTTACTCCAGTTTAAAAGTAACTGATGTGACACACCAGGATTATTAAGAGAGAAATCAAATCAGGCTTACAGAACACTGTTACAAAGGGTTAAAATAAAATGCACCCTAAATCATCAGTATCCGGTAAAAGGGACATATCTATTGAAATGCAAACAATAAATACATTTGTACAATACAGAAGTTTAGATGAACTCTATTCAGGGTTATTGGAAAGAATCTGCAACCATCCTATATAATAAAGAGGTAATATTCAAATTGACCCTCACTCCATCACACAGTCACAAGATGGCTGCGTCCACAGCGGAGGTGGGGTTCCCATAATAAGCGATCAGCAACCTGAGGCTGTGTGGTGCCGGGCCGGGGGGACCTGAGGGTGTGGCCCCCACCTGGCGGGGCTTGACGGGGACCTGAGGCTGCACCCCCCGCCTGGCGGGGCTTGACAGGGGTGGGGCCGGCCGGGTGTGGCTCTCGCCCAATGGTGGTGGGGCCAGCCAGGTCTGGGTCTCATGTGATTTCGAGGTGCACACGGGTGGGCAGGGACTTGACTCTGGGACCCACGGCATGCCCCAGACTCTGACAGGAGGAAGATTTTCATACACATTTTACTAATTTTCTTTCATATCTGACACTTCTATTATAAGAAAGGGCAAATAGCAATATTAAAGTATTTTCTCTAATTAATTCCCTTTTAACGTGCACAAATTTCGTGCACCGGGCCATTAGTATAAAATGCTTAACAATTCACAAAGCTGAACCACCTAGTGGTTTTATTTGTTTAACTCTGCCTTCTATTCCAGCCACTGGTCTCTGAGTTCTATAAACAGTTAAGAAAGGAAGTAGAGGTTTCACTGAAGAGCAAAATTGCTGGTTTTATCAGTATGCAATACAAAAACAATTATCTGTATATACTTTTCTCAGGTCACAACAACCTCTAGTCCTTTTGCTTACATACTGATGCCACTAGGCAGACAGAACTTCAGTACAAACACAGCATTTCATACAATAACCTCAGTTCAGTTACTAGGACAGAATAAGATACAAGTTGGACTTTTTACAGTAAGAAGTTTAATCTTAATTAAGACAAATGTAAAATTAAATTATCTTCATATACATGAAGTGAAAGTAACTTAAAATACTGATAATATACAGGGTATGGCAAAAGTAGGTTTACAATTGTTTAAATGGAAAATAATACAATAATTAATGAATAGTAATAAAATAAACTGTGTTTCATGTACTCACAACTGTAAACCTACTTTTGCCTACCCCTGTATGGTTAACTGACCATGAACAATTAATTAACAACAATCTAGGGAACAGGGCTAACAGTTCAGATCCAGAATCTAAATCTTCTAAATATTTCAAAATTGATGATTTTAAACAAGTATTTTATACTATATATACTATTTATAATATCTGCAATGAGTGGATAATCAGTACATTTCAATTAGGCAAATATTTTAATAGACCAAGTTTAAAGGGGGTAAAAGATCTAAAAAGCTGATCAGCATCTGCTTTCTTTCTCATAGATTTAATTTAACACTTTCTCCAGCTTGGGTGATCTTGGTGGTGTTAGAGAAAATGTCCTGAAGAGATGTAAAGTGATGATAACCTCTAACATAAAATTACTAATCTAATATTAGCACATGGCTATAGCTGAAATTTTCTTAAACACCTTCTACCACCCTCAACTGCAGAGATTGCTGGCTATGAATCTGAAAAATACCAGGAACCAACATGATCCTGCAATGCAACAGCAGCACCGAGCAGCTTCTATGTGCTGCCATCTCATTCTGTCCTCACAACTGCCGAGGTAGATACCATTATAAGCCCACTCTGAAGAGGAGGAAACTGATTCACAGAGAGGTGCAGTACTTTGTTAAGTCCAGAGCTGGGATTCAATTCTGACAATGCAATGGCTTGGTTTTGGTCCCTTGAAGAGCAGAGAAATATGATTTCTAAAAATTCCTTCCAGATTCCAACTTCAATAGTTTGAAATGTCAGGGCTGAACACCTTTGATGCATAAACTTATTAGATAACATAAGTCTAATAGACTGCTGACTTCTTTGACTAAGCTTAATAATTTAATGAAAAATAAGAGCCAAACAATGTGCTATTTTCCGTGAAAGCATGCCCACACTGAATTAAAACTAAAACATGTAGGGGAAGAAGAAAGGTTATATCCATGGAATGATCAACATGTAAAAAGTCACTTTCCATGGCTATAGTTTCTTGACATGACATTTCATTTTTAAAAATAAAAATTCAAAGTAATTTACCTTAATTTCCATATACCCCTGTACTAAATGCCTCCGATATAGGATAAATAAAAAGGAAAATATGAATTACAGAAATGGTACAATGTTCATAATTTATAGCTAAAAAGTACGAAATGTCTATAAATATAAAATCACCAATTTCATTAGATATTAACTCAGTTTTGTTAATCAAATAGTAGTTAAAACAGCATTAAATCATGCGGTCTCAGTTTAGATTTAGGCCTCTGTGATGTGCTGGTTTTCATGGCTTCCCACAGCACTCAATGTCAAACAATGCTGATTAAAATATATCTCTCTGCCAAATACCAGATACTTCTGGGGACTAGCCAACCCCCCCCCCCACCCCTTTTATAAATAAGGAAGTTTAAAAAAATAAAAAGGGTTACCAATCCTTTCCAATCATAGAAATTCAACTGGCCACAATGATGACTCTGTAGAAAACTGTTCGTTTTTGCTTTGACTCATTTGATCCTTGTATTAGACACAGAAACACTAATAAAACTAAGATGGTGGGGGTCATTCTATAAGGGACCAGGAATCTATACTTCTGTGAGAAATTCAAGTTCCTCAATAACAAGATCATTTGCAATTGATGATGACAGTAATGATGATAACCATAATGGCAATGAGACAGGCTGGAAAACCAGAACACGAATAGGAAAACTGAGACAGATAGCTAAACAGCAGTTTGCAGCCATCTAGTATCTTCCCTAAACCAAAGACACTTAAGAACAAAAGGTTTGCACTTCTCCTCCCCAACCAGAAAGAGGGAAAATAGCTTAAGTCACCCTACTTAGGGAGACAGATCGCAGAAATCCAATTAAGTGCCACTTGCCAACCACACCCAAAGAGAGAGGAAGTTAAGAGAATAAATCTGATTTTGATGAATAGTCTACCGAGATCCTTCCCTAAGACCTCCCCTAAACACCTAGCCTTTAAAACCCCTTGAAAGGGAAGTCCCATCTCATGCTCTCCCTTCCAGAAGCAGGCCCACACCTTTCCTCTCTCTTCCCCTTTTATCCCCCACTAGACATGTGTCTCTTAAACTCTAGGGACCCCGAAAGGCTGGCAACAATGGGCAGCAGCAGGTTGTCCTGGGCAAAGCCCCTGAACCTGTCCCCTAGGCCCCCTTTTCTCTGACTTCTTAGCCAAAGCAGCCCAGCCTAGGCTCATTTCCCCACTAGTCCCTCTCCTGTTATCCTAGGTCCCTCCTTGTTTCACTGTTCCCAGCTTTAATAAGTGACTTCTAAAATTCACTGGACTTGTGTTGTGAAATTTTCCCTGCACGAAGTCAAAAACCCATACACTACTGGCCAGCCCTAGGCAGACCTGCTCAGGGCCTGGTCCCCTTTCCGGTAACAGTAAAACAGTGGCATTTACTGAGAGACTACTTTGCCAGGCCCAGTGCTAAGCACTTTTTATATGTTTTATCCTATAATATAATCCCCATTTTACTGATGAACACATGAACTTGTCTAATATCACCCAGCAAGAAAGCACAAGCAGGATGCAAACTCGGGTTTGCACGACCTGGCAGCTCAGTTCTCAGTCTCTGGCTAGCACAGCCCATCTCCCCAAAAAGCCTCCATGTGAGCACACATGCACACACACACTATCCCTGGTGGAAGAAATATGATGTACTTCTATCTCATCCATGCTACCCTATGAAATCAAGCTCCAGTTATGAAAATCTAAAGCAACTTTAATTTTAGCTTTCTAAATTCTTTACTTTCAGATATCCATATTTGGAAGTAAGCTAGAAGACACAAAATAATTTAAATAAAATGTTGTCTTCACAGGGAAAAAAACACACAAAAACATGAGTTCTATACCCTTTTTCTGCACTAGGACATTCCAGAGGTCCTAGCAACAGAAACAGAATGTGGAATGTTGTGACAACCAGAAACATGAAATAAATTTTGTGGGAGACAAAAATTTTGTTTCTGAATATTTTAATTTTTAAAAAATATTTTTTAAAAATTTATTGTTTGATTTTTAGAGACAGAAAGAAAGGGGAAGGGAGGAAGGAAGGAGGAGAAAGAGAAAAAGAGAGTAAAACATCGACTTGTTGTTCCACTTACTTATGCACTCACTGGTTGCTTCTTGTATGTGCCCTGACTGGGGATCAAACCTGCAACCCCAAAGCATAGAGATGACACTCCAACCAACCGAGCTACCCAGCCAGCGCTGTTTTCTGAATATTTTTTAAAACATAAATTACAATCAGCCCATCTACAAATTAACATATGAACCTTGTTCAAAAGCAAGGAGGGAAAAGCTTGATTTACTACTGAAAACAAAAGAGTTGATAAAAACAAGTTCCAACTAAGTTAATAAAACTTACAAAATATACTTTAAATACACAACTTAAACCATTACATACTTCAAAATAATGAAAAGTTTTAAAATTGTACTTGACCTATGGACTCTAATTTAAAAGAACCGATTTTATTGTGTGTAAGCGCTGAATCTTTCTCAGGATTCAGGTCACCCCTAAAGTCCAATTAGTGAGTGGCTCAGCACCCACATCGAGGCCATCATGTACTCTGTAGACCCCAGGCTAGCAAAGCAGGAATAACAGGTGCTCTCATGGACACATGAGCACCTGTC